CACACACACACACACATGTACGTCTACGGGTAATTTATCATCTCCATTTCACCTGCATGTCTTTGGGTTGTGAAGGAGACCGAAGCCTACACATGGAGAACATTAGGGGTGAAATGATTCGCTCACTTCACAATATTATGCATTTTGACAATATTTTGGAATAAATTAATAAGTAAATAAGAGAGTAAATAAAATAATTAAACTTAATAATAAATTAAAGCATTTTTATTTCCCAAAACATGTACTAGCCTAACATGTAGCAGCAATGTTTATATACTTATTATCTATTGATATTTGAAGTAAGCATTTTATATTTTCAGTTTTAATTTTAATTTCAGTTTGTTTAAACATTTCTAATTGGATGAAAGTTTTTCCATTTAATATTTATATTTTATTTCAGCTCATTTCACTTAACAGAACAATTTTTAATGTTTTAATTTAAATTAAAATTAGTGCTGTCAAACGATTAATCGCGATTAATCGCATCCAAAATAAAAGTTTTTGTTTACCTAATATATGTGTGTGTACTGTTTATATTTATTATGTATATATAAATACACAAACATACAGTATATATTTAAGAAAAATATGTTGTTTATATATTAAATATGTTTATATATAATATAACATATAAGAATATGAATATATAAATGTATAAACGTAAATATTTTCAAAATATATACTGTATGTTTGTGTATTTATATATACATAATAAATATACACAGCACACATACATATATAATGTAAACAAAAACTTTTATTTTGGATGCGATTAATCGTAGGTGTATATGACTTTCTTCTTTCAGACGAATCCAGTCGGAGTTATATTAAAAATGGTCTTTGATCTTTCAAGCTGTTTAATGCCACTCAGCGGGTGTTGCATGCATCAGTCCAAAAGAAGTTAAATACAAAGCGCCCATCCATAAAAAAAAAGCCTGTTTAAATGATCTCTCTCCTGTTTCCACAGTACCAACTGTCTCTGATGACGTTACATCAACGGTGCAGCCTAGAAGATCCACACCTCCAATCAGGACCACAGCTATCAGCATCACCCAGAGACCTGCGCTCAACATCACCGTCACGCCGGACCCCAGCGCCGTCAGCCCGCCCCCCTCCAGCAGACGCTTCTGCGACGGGACGGAGAGGAGAGGAATCTCCTGGCCGCAGACGCACCGAGGAGCGACGGTGGAGCGGCCGTGTCCTAAAGGAACTCGAGGTGCGTCCGCACTGGAAACAGGCTTTTGAATTACTTCTGCAATCAGCGTCAGGAATCTGGCTGTCATTAGTGCAGAAGTGACACGTGTGCTGGTATCCGGCGTGTGGCGTTTCTTATTTGAATGGCATCCATATGGAGACGTCCAAATGATCTGCAAGATTCGCATTCCGTAGCCGAGTTAATATGCAAATGTTATGCACTGCTGTTTGTAATAGAAAATGTTTTCATAGCGTAAATATTTTATTACAAACTCCGACAGATATGTGACCCTGGACCACAAAACCAGTCATAAGGGTCAATTTTTTTAATTTTTTGAAATTGAGATTTATAAATCTTTACTCTATAGTGTATATTGCATGAGTGTACTGTATGTATGCAAATAATGTTGTATATATTTAATATGCTGATTTGCTGCTCAAGAAACATATCTGATTATTATCAGTGTTGAAAACAGATGCGTTGCTTCATATTTTTATAGAAAGTGTAGATACACTACCGATATTCAAGAGTTGGAGCAAAAATAAGTTCATACTTTTATTCAGCAATAATGCATTTCAACTATACATATGTGGACGCTCAGCTGCAGGAGCTCAAACCCAACGATAAAGACACGGCCGGACGGAGCTTCAACAAGGTACAGTGCACTGCATGTCCGGCTACAGCGACTGTGATTTATCAATGTTGTTTCGTTTGATTTGATAAAGTCTGAATCCTAAAAAGTCCTAAAAACGTCAACAGTTCTGGTTTGACAATCTCTTCAGGAGAGGTTTTTATCATGGCAAATTCAGCGACCAGCAAAAGTTCATTTATGCTTTAAAACTTTAACAAAGTTGATTAGTGAGAGAATATCAGTCCCTGTTGTTAGTTTCTTATTTTAAATCAAGCCTTTAGAGCATTGCCACCAAGGCTTATATTGCAATTTATAATTTTGTTTTGTTTTGTTTTGTTTTGTTTTATTTTATTTTATTTTATTTTATTTTATTTTATTTTATTTTATTTTATTTTATTTTATTTTATTTTATTTTAGTTAAGTTTAGTAATTCTCTGCATGGTAGAATATAGTTTTGTATATTGATTTATATTAAGTGTGTATATAGAATATAGATTTTTCAAGATACCAAAGCCTTCAATCAAATATCAGGCAAATATCAGGCTCTCTACACATTACACATTTTGCCAAGATCAAATTATCTGAATTATGTACTATCCACACTTCTTGTATAGTTCTGTACTATTACTGGATGTCAGAAAACCTGTTACTTTATGTATAAAAGAGCAACCTTTGAGCAAAAACGTTTTTCCTCATCTGGAAATTGTGGGGAGCAGATTTTAAACAGAGGTAACAGTGAAATTCAGCATCATTGCATCATTCAGGCCTACAAAAACAGCTTGGCCCAAAGCGCCACAAAAATAACAGGAAAAAATAAATAAATATATATGTATGGAATATGTAGTGAAATGTGTAGTTTCAAATGTAGTAAAATGTGTAGTGTTAAAAATAAAGCTTAACATTTCTTATATGTTACTTTCCTTATTGTAATCTTATAATATTACGACTTTAAAAACACAAAATTATACTTGAACTTTATTGCTATGGTGGTATTCTTGTCATTTTATTACTGCTTTAATCTGGTAATGTTATAACTTTAAATTCTAGTAAAAGGCCTATTATGAAAATGAAATTATTCCACGATCACTATAAATATGAAACTTTGTTCTCAAAATCTTCTTCTTTCTTCTTCTTCTGGCAGCTGCCGTTGAGTTTAATGGATTTTCTGGCTTCATTTGAAAGCATGCTCTAACGTGTCCATCTCCATATTTCCCTCCTCAGCCAGTGCCTTATAGAAGAGAGATGCACATTCAAAGACATGTTTAATTGAAATGGGGTTAATGGACGTGCTCTACAGTGTCCTTTTATACTATATATGACCTCAGCTTTGAATATATACTGATATTTCTTCAGCTATATGCACTTTTTGCCCTGAGGACTTTCAGAAATGAAGAACACACTTTTCAAGCTCAGTAATAGGTTATGTAAGTTGTCTACTAACAATGACAAGAGAACGATAAATGGAAATGTATTTCTCTCTGTAAAGGTCAGTTTCATAATCTGCATTCTATGTATTCTAACAGTAAGTCATATTTTGACACCCTTTGTTTACAATTGCAGCTTTACAGAAATTGCATACAAAAAAATGTTCTGTTCAGATGGTTATATTATATTATATATGAACATATTATATTTTATCTTAAGCATACAATTCAAAATTTACATTTTTAAATGAAAAACAAAAACAGATTTAATGTGCCATACAAGGAAGAAAACACAAACATAAAAGTCAGTCACTGGAAAATAAAAGTGCCCGTAGTTGAAGCAACACACATACATGATATGACTGACACATAGGCTCTTATTTGTTCTCTTTCTCTTTTCTTCTCTCTCTCTCTCTCTGTGTGTGTTGTTCCTAATCTTCCGTTTTTGTGTTTGAAACCAAAAAAAAAAAAAAAAAGCGTCAAAAAAGAGAGAGGACTTGCAGGGCCTATATGAAGGTATATATGGACACAATCCCAGAATCCCCTTCACCTGCTCTGCTGCATGCAGCTTGTTTGTCTGGCTGGAAGTCCATCTGTCTGTTGTCGTGCTGAGTCTGTCTTTCTGCTGATACGCGACTCTCTTTTAGGGCAGTTCTGCCTCGGTGTCTTTCTTTTTTTACTGTCCTCTTCTTTTCTGTTCACCTCCCCCTTACCGCTTGTCTGTCTTAAAGCAGTAGTTCACCCAAAAGTGAAAGTTTGCTGAAAACGTGCTCACCTTCAGGCCATCCGAGATGTAGATGAGTTTGTTTCTTCGTCAGATTTGGAGAAATGTAGCATTGCATCCTCTGCAGTGAATGGGTGCCGTCAGAATGTCGAGAGTCCAAACAGCTGATAAAAACATCACAATAATCCACAAGTAATCCACACCACTCCAGTCCATCAGTTAACATCTGGAGAAGACAAAAGCTGTGTGTTTGTAAGAAACAAATCCATCATTAAAGCATTTTTAACTTTAAACCATAGCTTTTGGCTAAAATACGACTCCGTAATCCATAATAACGCTTTCTCCAGTGAAAAAGTCGCCTGGTCTGAATCAGGAGAGAAATCTGTACAGATCAAGCACGGTTTACAAGCCAAAACAGCTCTAAACAAATATATGTGTGGATTTTGATGTGAGAGCCAACAGGAGATGGACTTTATCACTGGAGGAAGCGTTATTATGGATTATGGAGTCGTATTTTAGCCAGAAGCAACGGTTTGAAGTTAAAACGTCTTGATGGATTTGTTTCTGACAAACACGCAGCTTTTGTCTTCTCCAGATGTTAACTGATGGACTGGAGTGCTGTGGATTACTTGTGGATTATTGTGATGTTTTTATCAGCTGTTTGGACTCTCATTCTGACGGCACCCATTCACTGCAGAGGATGCATTGCTACATTTCTACAAATCTGATGAAGAGACAAACTCATCTACGTCTTGGATGACCTGAGGGTGAGCACATTTTCAGCCAATTTAGATTCTTGGGTGAACTATTTCTTTAGCTGAACACTCTGCTTTCCTGTTGATTGGGAGTCATTGTATTTCTGGCTGGTTTCTGCTCATCTTTCTGTCTGCTGTTGTTCTTTGTCTGAGTAATTGACATCCTGCAGTCGTGATCGCTGGGGTCTGTCAGCTGATCTTGTGATCAAAGTGGATTTGCGCTCTCTTCCTCACCTGCTTCAGTCTGAGCCGTTTCGCTGCGGTTTCGTTGCATTTCTTTGTAATCTTTTATGCATATCTCTGCTGTTGTGTTTTCATTCTTTTAATACATATTTCAGTCAGTTACTCAAAGCTGCACCTGTGAAAGAATAATGTCACTTTATTGTTTTTTTCTTTCATGTGCTGATGTATATTTCTTTTTGAAAAAGTTGAAGTGGGTCATACTGAAACAACCAATAGGCTTTAGTTTTTGTCACAGTCGTGGACTATGATTTGCTGGTATAAGAACATTTTATTGATGAGTCAGCGGTATCTTCAGTCAAATTTGGTCAACTTTTTAGTTACAAATTGAGCTTTGCTTCATCTGTCACTCAAGACTGTGTTTAGGTGTGGTCCATGTGATGAGTTTTGATTTAGGTTTTGGGTTTGGGATCTGACAAGGCTATTAAAGAACATTCGCTGTCAGTTATTTCACCCACCGTACAGTTTTCCAGGACACACTGAAAAAAAAAGTTTACTTTGAAAGCATTTTGCACAGAAATTGCTAGTAAATTCCATAAATAGTTACAAAGACACGGCGACATTGAATTAAACTGGAAATAGTTTTTTTTTTGTGCATCTTAATTCACACTTCCACAATTAAACGCCTTAAAAAGGTCAAAAAAAATTTGAGCAAAAAGTCTTAAATTCATAAAATCATTGCTTTAAATGTTGCGTGCATTGCAAAAAATTGTATAATTACCTAAACACCTTTAATGCAGATGTAACACCTGAAATGCAAATCTAAATTCTTGAAAAACTGAAAAACAATTAAGTGAGTTTATGTTTAAAATAAGAACAAATATCTGTCAATTGGGAATGAAAACTTCCCTTTGAATTAAGGTTATTTTTCAGAGCCCACTGGCAGATATTTGTTCTTGTTTTAATCATAAACTCAGATTTAAAAAAAAATTTGACATTTGAACTGGAAAACAGGACAAAATTACTAAGAATGAACGTCACTTGTACTTTCAAACTTTGAAGTGTCACTAATACAAAACATTTACATTTTGAGAACATGAATGTATCGTGTTCTCTTCAGTTTATTCCTTAAACGTTCTTTAATTGGTCTAAAAAAGGTCTAAACACCTGCATAAACCCAATGAAATTTTGAAGGGGAAAGACTCAAATTGTATGTTCTTGTTTAATGTTTGTTTTATGGACAAATAATCATTTTTTACAAAGCAGATGCTTTTGACTTACTGTCGCGTAATTGCAGGGGAATCTGACTGGAGTAATCATGGGTTTTATTATCTTCTTTTTCGTTTAAAATTACATTTAAACATAAATATTAAATTATTTAAAATATTTAAAGTTGAATTTATTTCCAAGAAAAGTATTAAACATACATTTAAAAAAAAAAAAATTCTTTGCGATGCTATGCAAACAAAAACTTGAGAAAAATTGAAAAATGGGCCACATTTATGATGTATGGACAGAATTATTTTTCGTATAAATAATAAAACTCATTCTTACACGAATTAATGCTTTGAACTAAATGTTACAGCGTATATAAGAATATATAAGAATATAAAACGTCCAGCTCATGCTTTACGTGTCTTTTTGCTGTGTCTTTTATAAAGTAAATGTAAGAATAACTCTTATATTGATAATATTTCAAGATGAACACCTACTGGAGTGAAGCTGCTTCGCTTTACTTCATTAAGTCTCAAATTTGATAATCAGGCTTTTGAGGAACATTTATTTTTTGTTCATCTCTCAATCATCATTTCGTTGCATTATGGCTTGGTTTCACAGGCAGGGCTTAGGTTAAGCCAGGATTTGGCCATAGTTTAATTAGGACATTTAAGTAGCTTTTATAAATGTGCCATAGATAAAAACATTACTGGTGTGCATCTTGAGACAAAACAATGAATCTGACATATTTTAAGATCATTAAGTGCAAGTTTCTTTCATTTGAAATAGCCCAGACGTGCCTTTTAGTCTAGGACTAGGCTTAAGTATTGTCTATGAACTGGGGGTATATGTTTTAATCTTAAAACTAAGTATTTAAATATCATTTTACTAAGACATATTATTGGAGAAATAGAGTGACGGCTGATATTTATATCATTTTATGTTAGTATCTGCTATACTGTTATAAAGATCTCATTCATTTACATTTCAAGCATCAGAATTTCTTCACTTTTTGATCTGCACCAAATTGCATATATTTGCTCAATTTGAGCCTCTGAACAAAACTGAGCTGTTTTTCTTGCATATTCTCACTATATCAGACTATATTAGCCATAAAAGCCTGATGCATCAAATATGACACAAAGTATAAAACAATACTGTATACTGTATGCTTTTTAAAAAAGAAAAACATTTCTGACTGTTACTTCACATGTCAGACTTTACAAGGTTAAAATCCTCCTTTACACCCAAAAGCACCTCAGTCACATTGGGATTGGTTAATTGAATTGTATACTGGTTAAAGCCAATGCAAATGATATGGATATCAATGAGAACATCCCGTTTTCTGGAGTTTTTATAATCTGCAAGCTACTTCCAGTCCGATATTGCTTTTTACTTTACAGAAAGATTTTTATGTTTTTATTTGTTTGTGACAGCACGGCCATTAGATCCTGTTACAGATAGTAACGCATACAATATTGATCCCCAGCAAATTTAATATGACAATCAAGTAGATTGTGCAGATTGCAGTTATGTCCAGTAGTGAAGGCAATTTTTTTGTAAGCAGAGAAACTTGATCTTTGGAGAACTACAGACACTGTTTAGAAATGATGAATAATTGGTAACGGAACTGGATAAGAACTAGTGTTGGGTTCGAGTCTGAGTCCAGTGAAACTCTACTGTTTGTCAGTATCTTAACCTTGTTTTAACCTTTACAACTAGAAAAAGGCAATGTCAGTTTAAATGTAACAAACGCAAACCTCTATTGCATCTTGCCATTTAGATTTTTGCTTTTACATCATCTCGTAATTAGTGTCCTGCTCAGCAAACTTAAAGTCATGTAACAGAAGTTATGGCTGACTCTATTTATGTATTGTGACTTAATTCAGATTTTTTAAATGTGAAATGTTATAGAACGGGACTTGACTTTATTCATTGTTACAGTAAATGTATAAATGCAAGGGTGGGGTTGGGGGATTGTGACTGGGGTAGCTTGGTGGACCTGAAGAGCAGAAAATGCACCTCGTATCTCTGATTGTGTTTTTGGTTTTATATGAGTCAGGGTAGACAGCATTTAGAATTTTTTCTTGCATCAAAATGAGGCTGTGAGGGATAAACGTGTGTATAAAACTGTGTATAAAAGCCCTACATGTGCTTTCCATAACTCACAGCCAACTCACACCTGTTTTATTTTTGAATGCATTTATAGATAGTAAATTTCATTATGTAAGGAATAATTGACGACGGCCCGTTGAACTATTAGAAAATAATGCACACTTAAAGTGTTTTTGGACCCATAAAAACTATTGCTGCAAAGAGTTATTTTAAATTATTTTTTCTATGAAGTAGTGCTGTCAAGTGATTAATCGTGATTAATCGTATCCAAAATAAAAGTTTTTTGTTTACATAATATATGTGTGTATTACACTGTCTATATTTATTATGTATATATAAATACAAACACATGCATGTATATATTAAAGAAAACTATGTTGTTTATATATTAAATATATGTATATATAATATAAAATATAAGAATATAAATATATAAATGTATATACATAAATATTTTCAAAATATATACTGTATGTATGTGTATTTATATATACGTAATAAATATACACAGCACACATAAATATATTATGTAAACAAAAACTTTAATTTTGGATGCGATTAATCGCGATTAATCGTTTGACAGCACTTCTTTGAAGCTAGAAGCTGCCACAATGATTAAAAATAATAATAATTTCAAAACAACAGCAAAAACTAATACTAAACTAATGAAAGTAAAACATTCTCAAGCTTACTGAAGGCAAGTAAACAGTCTAATTATTAATTACAAGCAAAAGGATAAATAAATATATTCATCAAAAATACATACATGAAATAGTTTTTCAGCTAGGTCTATACAGGCTACTACAGAATTAGCCTGCTGCAGACATTTAATGAATTAAACGTAAAAATAAAACACTGCACAGTCTTTACTGTATGCATTAAATATAAATCATTCTTATTTAAGTTACTAAACTGATTTAGTCAAGAGCAATGAGTGATTTTCTCCTTTTCTTTTGTTGTTTGATTAACATTTATGACACAGTCAGCGGCAGCAGGTTTACGCTGCTGTCACTTTAAGACCTGATGCACAGATAAAATGTTTTGACACAGCTGTATTTCTCTCAACAGTTCAGGTTCACTTAAGAAAAAAACTGACTGCATTTATATGAATAGTCTCCAAGATGGGCATTTTGACAACTTTTCGTGTAAGTGTGTAGCAATAACATGCAAAATGGAATTTAATTCAGCATTTGCACGCTGACTGACAGGCGCTTTCTCTGTGTGAGCACAGAAACCCATCAGCTTTTCAAGTACTGGACAAGACTTAAAAACACATGCGGAAACTGAATATCACTTTCGTGATAATGCATCGAGTCAGTGACATTTTTGAGTCCTCTAAAAAATTGTACTCGAGTCAGAGTACCCCAACTCTAATAACAACCACAAAAGTGTGTTTGCAATCCTGATGATCTCTGATGAAAGGTGGCAGAAACACACCCAACACGTATTTTTGCAGGAATTACACTAGTTGTACAGTGCTTCATTTCCCATTATAGTTGTCTCGTGTCACAGGTCTCATTTGGTTTTCTTCTCTCCAGTGTATTCCATGTGCTGGATCCTCTTTCTTTTCCAGGGAAAGCAAAGGAAAAATATCAACCGCTTGTCATTTCTCTTGTTTCCATGGTTACAGGCCATTGTGGACACGGTTGACAACCTCCTGAGGCCAGAAGCCCTTAAATCCTGGGAGGACATGAATTCCACAGAGCAAACACATGCCGCCACTATGTTACTCGATACCCTGGAGGAAGGAGCCTTTGTCCTTGCAGACAACCTGATCGAGCCCGCAGTCGTCAGAGTGCCTGCCGAGAACATCAGTAAGTGCTTTCATCTTAGCCGGCAACTTTTGATGTAAATGATGAAGGTTCGATTCGAGCCACGTGTCTGAGCTGCCGCTTATGACTGATGGAGTTTTCCAGGAGTAATGTGTGTGTATGAAAACCAAAGCAGAAAGAAACCGAACTGGCAAGAATGCTCGGAAGAGGTAGAAAGGTCAGTTCACACAAATTCAAACCAATGCCGGAATAATGGACTAGTTCACCCAAAAATGAAAGTTTGCTGATCATTTACTCATCCTCGGGCCATCCAAGATGTAGATGAGTTTGTTTCTTCATCAGAGCATTGCATCAGTGTCTCAGCAATGGATGCTCTGCAGTGAATGGGTGCCATCAGAATGAGAGTCCAAACAGCTGATAAAAACATCACAATAATCCACAAGTAATCCACACCACTCCAGTCCATCAGTTAACATCTGGAGAAGACAAAAGCTGCGTGTGTTTGTAAGAAAGAAATCCATCATTATACATGTTTAACTCTCTATCCATAACATTGCTTCCTCCAGTGAAAAAGTCGCCTGGTCTGAATCAGGAGAGAAATCTGCACAGATCAAGCACCGTTTACAAGCCAAAACAGCTCTGATGTGAGAGACAACAGGAGATGGACTTTATTACTGGAGGAAGCGTTATTATGGATTATGGAGTCGTATTTTAGCCAGAAGCAACGGTTTGAAGTTAAAACGCCTTGATGGATTTGTTTTTGACAAACACACAGCTTTTGTCTTCTCCAGATGTTAACTGATGGACTGGAGTGTTGTGGATTACTGTGATGTTTTTATCAGCTGTTTGGACTCTCATTCTGACGGCACCCATTCACTGCAGAGGATGCATTGCTGAGCAAGTGATGGAATGTGATATAAACGTTTGTGGTATAAAAGCCATGCTTTGTCCAGTTAGGTTTAGCTTCTTTATCTTACATATTTTACATTTATAGCAAGCACTGATTCTCACTGATTTTAACTAAAACATACATGAGAAAAAAAGATATCTATTTTGAAGAAAAATCTAAAGAAAAAAAAGCATCATAGTCAACAAATGTGTGCATTAATTAGAATGTGTAAAACATGTTGTCATTGCGCTTTTTCCATAAAAACAAGAGTTAAAAATTACATGTTGAGTACTGACTAAACTTATAAGAGATTTTCAATAAAGACAATCTAACAGCTTTGTGAAATTATCACTGGAACTGCCCTGAGAGTTTAGGTGAAGAAATGCATTTTTTCTTTGTAATAATAAATACACATTGACACTGTGCTGTTGGGTTTATATTTATTATTGCACCCACTTGTGGGCCGTTGATTGAAAAATCTGATGTCCACTGATCTCTTCCTATAACTGAAATAATGCCTTTGGAGATTTGGAAATATTTAAGTGAAAAAATGATTTTTTTTCAGCCTTGTTGACAGTCGTGCTGCTTTGACATTGTGGTAAAAGTAGGACATTTGGCAAATGGATGTAGTCTTTTGCACATTGCTGCAGTGCGGCTGGAAGAGTTAAGTATTTGAAATATTCAGCTGCAGATCCTCAGCGGTAACGAAATAGTATAGAGAGCAGATCAATTATTAATTAATCAGGCAACTCGCATATAAGACAGTATGCAAATCCAACACACTGAAGCAGCAGAAGAACTTCAGCAGGTCTTGCATTAGCAGATTCGCTCCAGTTACTGTTTCACGTACCTTCTTCACCGCTGAGCTTTTGAGTATAATTATGTATGAATTTAAACGGCACAGGATTTTTTTTTTCTTCTGACTTTCTGTGCCCATCTACATCTGGAGACCTCTGCCAACTGTATGTTATTCAATCAATAGATGTTCTTGCCTCATAAAAAGGCATTTTGTCTCTTATAATTTTGTGCATGCCTAGATGATGAAGGTTATAGTGGGTTTATTGAATATACTGTTCATCAGACGTGTTATCATAACTAAGCAAGGTCTCAATGAATGTGTGTTTGTGGGCAGTTTGACTGATAACAGTGCTTTAAATGAGAGTAACCAACACTGCTTTTGCTGCCACACACGTCCATCTCTGCAGATATCAGCTTTCGCGTGGAAAGAGAAGAAAAGACAAAGCGATCCTACACTGCTTAATTTAGAGAACCTTTCCCGGCAGATTCGATCTGGGCTCGAGAAATCATTGTGCTGATTGCTATTTACAGCCACAGATATGAGAATCTCCCAGGCAGTGAATAATGCAGGAATCTGAGCCGTTGACGGCTGTACAAGAGTTTACAGCGAACGAGTCAAATCTCAGGTTGCATTTGTCAGGTTGATTTCAGGCTGAATGTAGCAATCTGCCCTTCTTGAGTTTGCTAGCCAGGCTTTATACAGTTCACAACCTATAAAAAAAATCCACCGAAAAGGCCACCAATTTAGTTTTTCTATCTTTCCTTTTAATAGGAGACTCTGACTTAAGTTGAGTGAAATGCTATTTTAAAATCAAGTCTTGTACAAATTGATGACATGCAGGTAGTGTGGATTTAGGATGCGCAGTTTGGTTTTAAAAAGTTTAAATTTGCATGTGCAATTTGTGAAATATGTTGGGTGTAGGCAAATGGATTGAACTTGTATATCTGGAGGAGACTATTGTGAGCAAGTTTACTTGAAATCGATTACTTTTTATTATTATATTCTAAATAACAAGAGCGGTCGATTCGTAAAACAGAAGGCAGTTTTCATTTTAGATTCACTGACAATTAGAATGACTACATAAGTGAAAAGCATTTGTAAAGGAAGTGCTTTTAGGCATCAGGAGTGGAATCCATAGTGTAATCAAAAATGTTATGATTTAGATACAGCTGTTGTCTCGGGTGCATGTAAATAGGTGGATATTGTTCAGTTCTGCAATTTTTCATGCATGCATTCATCACTGTGAAAGGGCTGAAACCAAATCGACTTCGCTCCGGTCTCAGCATGTGGCGACTTTAACCATTCAGATGCTGAGAGGATCCAGCCCAGGCCCCTGCCAGTGGAATTTATTAGTAATGTGATCTCATTCATATAAGACAGCTTTGTGCGCTCATCTGTCATTTCACTGTACAGGCCTCTGGGTTACTGCAGGCTTTTTCCTTTTAACCTTGGCTCAGTGCTTTTTGACCCCCTTTATTTTCTTCTCAATCCTTTTGTGTAGCTATTTTTTGTTGTTCTCAGCCATATAAAAATGTGGCCATGAAACCCATGAAAATGTAGATGCTGTTGTAAATAATAGTGAAAATCACTTTTTAAACTGTTGTTCCATTATTACCCCTTAGCTGATTTTGACCCAAATACATTGAAAGCAAATAGGGATGCAGTCTGTAAAGCTTTATCGCTTTCACATCAAAAGGGAAATGAATGTCAGAAATCATAACAGTCAATGCAGCATCTGTAGGAAAGGAAGTCTCATCTTTCAGTTAAAAGCGCCAATTTTAGTATAAGGTAATGAAGAAGCTTTTCTCTTTTTTAAAGGCACAAGTTAATTTTCTTGAGAAAAATGTTCATTGTTAAAGAGAAAACATTTTCTGCTTACATTAGACAATACACCTTTTTGTTCTCTGCCTCTCATTTGAAAATTATATGATGCGGTACAAATGCAGAGTTTGTTGGCCCGAGGTGCATTAGAAAACTTTGAAACCATCCTTTATATGTGCACAATGTCTCGTTTTAATTAAATTACCTCGCATTGGCTTAATGAAACAGTCCTTCATTTCCATCTGGCAGAAGAATTTGAGAACCTGAATGTGAGAAGCCATTTATGCAACTGCCATTGTCTCGTGTTTTGTTTAATAAGACACCAAATGGCACATAGGAATCCATATCTTTCTGCTTTTCTTTCTTCATTCAGTGTTGGACGTGTACGTGTTGAGCACCGACGGCCAAATTCAGGACTTCAGGTTTCCACAGACCAGCAAAAGAGGAGCCACGATTCAGCTCTCAGCAAACATGGTCAAACTAAACAGTAAAAACGGTAAATAAAAGCAAGGTTATAGTCATTTCAAATGCTTTAATGCAAGGCCTTCAGATGCTTAGTTAATGAAGTCAATGGTTTTCCTGATCTGTAGTACATAATCACTCTGCACAAGTACTTAGTCAGTGCATTGCAAGCTTTACATCCATTACATGCTTTCTTGCATTTCTGTAGCTGTAGCTAATGTCAGTACTCAAGGACAGCATTGAATATTCTTCCACATGATGTTATTCCGGTTGCTAGCAAAAACATGCTTGTAAGATCTAAAGTGCTCATCAATGTTCTCTTCGATCTGTTGTTCTACTTTGACAGTTGTTAACCGGAAAGAGAAAGTTCAAAATAAGAAAAATATATAGATATTTTATGACCCTAAGGCTGTTTAAAGATAATATCAGTTTATTTTTCTATCGAAATCCAGTAAGTACTAATGGTGTTCTCCTATCATTTATTTACTCAAGGTGTTGCCAAGTTGGTTTTTGTCCTGTATAAGCACTTGGGGCATTTCCTTAGTACGGAGAACGCCACAGTGAGGCTGATGGGAGAGGGCGGAGTCAGAAACCACACCCTGACTGTCAACTCCCACATCCTCTCCGCCTCCATCAACAAAGAATCCAGCCGAGTGTTTGTGTCCGAACCACTCATCTTCACTCTGGCGCATTTGGATGTAAGAATTGAAAAGCTTAATGAAAGACATGTTTCTCTTTCTTTGCAATTTCAATTTTAAAGGGGTCCTATTATGCTCTTTTACGAAGTCTTGATTTTGTTTTGGAGGTGTACTAGAACTGGCTCTCATACTAGGTTGTTCGGAAAACATTATGTTTCACATATTTTACATTATTGCAACACCTCTCCCCAGTCTGGCATGAACGGCTCGAATAGTTCCTGTATCAAATGAAGGCCCGCCTTCTGAAATACAAAATGTGTTGTGATTGGTTAGCTGGGTCAGTGTGTGCTGTGATTGGTTAGCTGGGCCAGTGTGTGTTGTGATTGGCAGCACTTGGCGCCTGGTTGGGAAATGTCATGCCCCTTACCATAGCCGCCTGCGAGCTTCAGTGTAAATATTGCGTCAAAATCAAATCAATCTGAGAGCGATTTAAACCCGATTTAAATGATTGTAATCACTCTAAGTTCGTCTGCCTTGGGAAAGCTGGCGTGTCTCCGACATAGTGATAACACTAGCGTGTCTTTGCCTTCTCTAGTGCAGCTCAACCAGGTCTCATCCCATTCGTCGATATTTGTGATATCACAAATCCCGGAAAATATGCGTTGTAGTCCAAACGAGTCGTTCGTTGTAGTTTTTGAAAAGTGATTTCTGTTAAATAAAATATCTCCTTTTGAAGTGGACTTTCAGCTTTGTAACTTTGCAGATCTTTTTTATGCTCAAACAGCAACATTACAGACTGACTAAAGTTGAAAAAGTGAAAAAGCATAATAGGACCCTTAATTACTTTTCGTTAACTAATATTTTTGTCATAGTTTTCATTAACAAAATTAACACTACTTAAAGGGTCTTACCCAGTAACACACTATGCCAAATATAAAATAAATTCCAGAAATGATGAGGAAGAAAGTAATTAAAATACATCAGTCATTTAAGTTTATTAATTACTTTTCGTTAACTAATATTTTTGTCAGTTTTCATTAACAAAATTAACACTACTTAAAGGGTCTTACCCAGTAACACACTATGCCAAATATAAAATAAATTCCAGAAATGATGAGGAAGAAAGTAATTAAAATACATCAGTCATTTAAGTTTAAGTGGGCAATTACCTTTTCACGTGGGTGATAGGTGTAAGACAACTTTTTATGCTTCAATAAAAGTGTTTAATCAGATTGCCTTTGATTCATGTTGTATTTTATTTGAATATCTACAACTATTTAATATCATACTATTTTTTATCATGTTGGGGGTAAATACATTTTCACAGCACTGTATTTATATGAAACAGGTGCTGAAAAACAGTGAAGGGCCAATAGTAACAGTAAGGCCAATCTATTTGCTTCAAAATCTAAAGAGAAGAAAGATTTAAAAATTCTTAGTTTCATTAGAATTACTGGTACCTGAGATGTATCTTGTTGTAGCATAAAATATGGGGCGTGTTATTTTAAATAACCAAGTAATTGAGTTAAATTAGAGCCTTGAAAAACATGCTTAAACAAAATCAAAGAACATACTTGTCCAGTGCCTTCTGATTTTAGGACTGAGTTAAAATTAGAGCCTTGAAAAACATGCTTAAACAAAATCAAAGAACATACTTGTCAGTCAGCATGGTTTATTAATAGAGATTGTTGATCAAGGAAAACAATGTTTGGGTATAAAAGGTTTAAATCTCTCAACCTTGCAGATGTCAGCTGTCACGTTCAAATAAAATGACATGTTTCTCCGTTTATCAGACTGAGAACTACTTCAATCCAAACTGCTCATTTTGGAACTATTCTGAGAGGAGCATGACAGGATACTGGTCAACACAAGGCTGCAAACTCCTCGCGACAAACAAGACTCACACCACTTGCTCCTGCAGTCACCTGACTAACTTTGCAATCCTGATGGCTCATCGAGATGCACATGCGGTGAGTATCAACTGGTCCCAGTCCAGCCCTGTGGTGGGACATCCGGTATAGAGGAAATCAACATAATGATTCAGTTAGTAACTATAATTCAACAGCTACTCTTCAAAGCCAATTTTCTGCTTTCTGCTTTCTGCTTTTCATATAACTATGATGCTGTTGAGTATTGAGTCTCTTGAGTTTCCAGAATGTCATTTTCTTCTGCTGATACATTCATTGGACATAATTTGTGCTCATCACAGCCACAGCAACGTATCTCTACAAGAGAACAAATTAATATATTGCAGCTCTTTCTTAATATAATTCTTAATCTACTTTGATGAATGGATCTCTTGGGTCACTTGTAGATTTCTGGGAACAATGCAATTATGTCAGTATGTCAGTTGTTTGATAGCACCAAACATTATACGATATGCTAGCATAGCTGTCATTTAAGCTGTAATGAATGTGGAAATCATGGGTTTTGTTGTGCAAATGTTTATATGGTCTTGGTCCACAAACTTACCTAATTGCTGCAACTGTGGATAGATATATAACCATTACGACAGCAGAATCTTATTTTCTGCCTACATATTACATAGATACTGTGTTTTGTCCTGTTGAATCAGGAATATTAAAAAAGATTCCCTTTCTACTAAAGAGTTTTCTTTAAACAATATAATTATGATGCGCACAATTTGTTGTGCTCCTGAAATAAATATTTATTGGAAGTACTTACAAGATTGTAAAAGTTGTGTTGTTAGTAAGGTAGAGAAATGGAAATCATTGATTTCACAAATGGAAATCAAGCCAAGTAAATATCACAAGCCACCAAGCAGTAATTGAACCAGTGCCTGCAGTGCTGGAAGAGCCAATTAAAAGCCTTGGATGCTGGTCTGATGTAAACCTAAACAACAGGCAAGTACAACAAATAAAGGAGGATATAATCACTGGCCTCAAGCATATCAACAGTACTGCTCTCCTATGAAAGAAAGGGCAACAGCCCAAATTGGAGGCACCAGAGTTTCAGCTGCCCTGTCTTTCTGGCCAATTACCTTGTTCGAAGTCGCCCTTTCACAGGTCAGCAAGCTGGGGTATTTGATTAGCTCACATATGAGAAGTGGCTTGGATTACCAAGATATGTCAGCAGGATAGGACTGTATGGTAAGAGGGTTCTTTCACTCCCAATTACGAGCCTTATGAAGGAATACAAATGTGCTAAAGTTAGGTTAGACATGATACTCAAACAGTCCCAAGATATCATTGTGAGAGAGGCCGCTCTATCCCTAGTAATGGACGGAAATGCAATCCACCATCAGCGGATGCAAAGTCACCCCCTTGACACTGGGATATTGTAGGCCAGGTACAACATGGAAGAAAGGGTTTGGGGGAAGCAAGCCCACCTTGTAAAATGGCATCACCAGCCGACAACTTGTGGTGGAAGAGATGCACCAATCAAGAACAAGTCTACAATCACTAAAGCCACATCTCAAACCAAGCAAGACAGCTGGGTGAGATGGGAGAGTATTGATAAGAAAATAACTACCTGCAAAGACCCGTGGAATATGGTGGAAGAATGAGTTTTCTCATCTGTGCCACAAATAAGGTCCTTCCTTGTCCTATAAACCTAAATTGGACTTGACCACAAAGAACAACAACCAGTGCTATGCCTCAGAATGCCCAGTCAACCCACCCATTTCTGATATCTTTGCTTAAGTAAGGAAAAGCAGAGTCCTTGCTTCCTAAGGCTGGCCCACTGGTTGCCACCAGGGACTGGAAAATGACATTGACCTAGACCAGAAACTTGGATACTTTTATCATGGAAATCGCCAGCACCAACCTGAGACCAAATCTTGCTCTGTGGTCCAGATCCAGATGTGCCCAGTCGAGGTGAGATGCATCGGAGCCAATATACTTCTCAGCTCCTGAGGGTACCGAGAATTAGAGGACAGTCCAGCAGGTAGTAAAGTAAAGACATTTGTGGAGGACACAGAGCAAAACAATCATTGACTATGGCTGAAAAGGAAGGACAGCTCCTGGACCAACAGTTGAGACCATAAGAGACCAGGGCTGCGTTTCTCAAAAGCATCGTGAGATAAGTTGATTGGACAGATTATTGGTGGCAATGGATCTACGATTTACTTAGGCTTACGATGCTTTTGGGAAATTGCCCTGATCAGCCCACTGCTTGTTAAACTAGATGGCTCTTTGCAGTGTTGGCAATCTTTGCGTCCTGGCAGTCGTGCACTCTGAGCAATGATTGATTATGGCTGAAATGTAAGGACACCACCTGGACCAGTAATTGAGCACCATAAGAGACCAAAAGGTGGCAAGACATATGCCCACACCTAAACAGCCCACTGCTTGTTAAACTAGGTGTAGCTCCTCACAGTGTTAATCTTTGGATCATGGCAGTCATGCACTCAGAGAAACAGCTAAACATCAAGAGGCATTGATTAACTAGATATCAAGAACGACTGGCTGTAGGACATACATCAGGGTCTAAAGAGCCTGTGGTGGGCGAACCTCATGAGAGGGTGTATTAGTGTTGGGCGATATGCTTAATTTTCATATCGTCCTATCGTCAGCCTGTGAGATCGCTGATACACGATATGATCGTGCTAATTTATTATTTCCTCAGTTATTCAAAAAGCAGCTACAGAAAACGAGCAAAGAACATATGCATTACCAAAGAACATCATCACTAGCTCAGTCTAGCGCGAGCTTATGCACTTTAAAAACACTCCCGTGAATCAGTGAATCTACACTGTATGATGAATAAATCTCTTATACTTGCATTGCACGTACATCTGCACTTTGTTGTTTACGATGAGAGAATTTGCGGGTCAGAATTCAGTCAGCGCGCGCTGAACAACAAAATTCCGCTGTTTCAGCCATCTTAATGCATCTGATTGGCCATTGCATTCATAAACTCAACAGAATCGTGTGTGATTGGTTATAATGCGCAACACTGTAAAAATGCAGAAAAAGAAATATAATGGAACAAATAAGCCCTAATATTAATTAGATAGTTTTACTAGCCTGATAATAATAATAATAATAATAATAATTATTATTATTATTATAATAATAATAATCGTCTTGCTATCATCAAAGGCATCAGCCACAGGCGATATCTCTGACTATCGTTGATACACGATACTATAATCTATCGGCACAACCCATAGGGTGTATTATGATAAACTGGTAAAACACCCATGATGCTGAGGTACACAACTGATGATGTGTCTCAATACAATCCTTTAAGCTTCTGCCCAGCATGATCCACAGGGATGGTGCTTTCATGCATACAGCCTTTCCAGTAAATGTATGCATTTTGTTGTTGTTGTTACTGTTGGTTAGAGGATGTGTGAACAGAACCTGTCAGTGTTAAAACGTCTTCAGCTTCTGTATTGGTGCCATGTGTAAACAAAGACGTAAGATAGATTATTCTAACTCTAGAAAGTTAAGACATTATGATTTAAAAAACTTGGTCTATACTAGACGTGAGCTTCCATTGTAGTCAATAGCTGTCTCTACTGGAAGTGATCACTGCGGTGCATTGACATCACAGATTCAACAGCATTTTGTTGCTAATATGAAAATAATAGAAAAGCGTATAAAAGATAGCTGCTGTATGTGTGACTAGCACGTTTAAGATGCATTTTTGCTCAACGCATTCAAAAATAAAAAAAGATTAAATTCTGACAAGTGACATGTTCGAGTTAAGTAACTGGTTAATGCTAATGTTTATTTTTCAAGGGTGTGGGAAGCATTCACGAGCTCCTGCTGACAGTTATCACACGAATGGGCATCGCCGTTTCACTTGTCTGCCTTGCCATTAGCATCTTCACCTTCTGCTTCTTCCGCGGCCTCCAGAGTGATCGCAACACCATCCACAAGAACCTCTGCATCAACCTCTTCATCGCAGAGCTTCTGTTTCTTGTGGGCATCAATATGACCGAACCTCCGGTGGGTACATTTTTTGCACGCTGGGGGGGGGTATTGGTGTGAAGAGGGCTTATTTCAACCCTAGTGAGCTGCCTATATTTTTAGGCATCAACCCATAGGCAAGTTTGTTTGATTCTTTGTGTTTATTTCTTCCTGCTCAGATTGTGTGCTCTGTGATTGCTGGAGTTCTGCATTTCTTCTTTCTTGCCGCATTTGCCTGGATGTGTTTGGAGGCCGTTCAGTTGTTCCTCATGCTTGTGGAGGTCTTTGAGAGTGAATTCTCCAGACGAAAATACTATTACGCATCTGGCTACCTGTTCCCCTGTGTGGTGGTTGGCATTTCAGCAGCCATCGACTATAGGAGCTATGGGACGAGGAAAGCGTGAGTAATATTGTTTATTGATATCGGCTTGCAGTTTAAATGCAGATACAGACTTCCCTCTGTCCATTAATGCTGTTAATATTAAACAATGTTGACAATTGAAAACCAGTCACTGCTCTTGACTGCAACTTAAGCTTTAATAAGTATTAAAGTATTAATTCTAATGAATCTTTCTGGGTAACATTTTAGTTTAGGGGCCAATTCTCACTGTTATTTACTTGCTTATTAGCATGCATATTACTAGCATATTGGCTGTTTATTAGTACTTATAAATCACATGTTAATGCATTATTCAGCATGACCATATTTTAGATGTCTTAACCCTACCCAATACCTAAACTTAACAACTACCTTACTAACTATTAATGAGCAGCAAATTTGGAGCTTATTGAGGCAAAAGTCATCATTAATAGTTAGTTAATAGTGAGAATTGGACCTTAAAATAAAGTAACCTTTTTCTGAATATTTCCTTGGTTACTTGATACTACTGTTAGATTCCTGATAAGCTACACTGCTTACTTTATTTGTATCTTTGCTTTATTGAAAACTTGAGTTTTGTACTTAAATTACTTGTTTTGCTATGGTAGCAAAATTGTATTGATTTCATCATTACATTTTGGTATATATACTGTCACTGTAAAATAAAATTACTTGCATTGTGATAATACAGTATTTTGGTCATACCATCCAAGTTGACCGTCTCCAGTGGTAGATCTCACCAAATCTCTGATTGAATTTCTAGAATATTACGGTGGTTATCACTGTCAAACATCCCAATATTTGGGGCAGCCTGAGTGTCTTCTTTCCATTAGACAAAACAATATTTTATGGCAGTGTTTCTCAACACTGCTTCTGGAGGCACACCAACAGTGCATTTCTTCGACCTCTTCCTAATCAAACACACCTGATTCAACTTATCAGCTCGTTAGTAAGACCTGAAATTGATGGGTTAGAAAAGGGTGACATATAAAATGTGGAGTGCCTCTGGAAACAGGGTTGGGAAACACTGATTTAGGGAATTCATTCCCTCCAATGAAATTGGTTGTCACTCTCAAAACTTTGCAGTGTGTTCATAGCTTTAAGTAATTGCTTTCTTTCTTTTTTTCCTCTTTCCAGATGTTGGTTGAGGGTTGATAATCATTTCATTTGGAGTTTCATTGGCCCTGTTACGTTCATCATAATGGTAAGTTTTTCACATTTCTCATGAATACCTTTATTTACAGTTGGTGTATGGAATTTTAATTTAATTGCCATATTTTCATCATGTTGTGGTTCTTTGCGATGTGTTGGAATTGTCTATAGTTTCTTCAGTACAGTTCCAACTGAATGCATGTTTTGTTTGCATGTCTTGGTAATGTATGTTGCATTCAAATAGCTCAGTAATATTTCTTCTTATTGGTTGATAATTTACTGTACGCTGTTTAATTTTGGTTGGTCCGTAATGATCACTGTGTTCCCATTGGTCAGACTTCATTCGTAGGGTGAAACTTCTTCCATTTAATAATTATTGAGGCTACTGTGCTCTTGGAAACCGTCAAAACAGCAGATGTTTTTGTGACCTTCACCAGATCTGTACCTAGACACAACCCAGTCTCTGAGCTCTGCAGGCATTTTCTTTGACCTTATGGCTTGGTTTTTGCTCTAATGTCCTGATTTGCAGCTGTTAGACCTTATATAGACTGGTGTGGGTTTTTCAAAATCATGTCCAATCAATTGAATTTGCCACACATGGACTGGAATCAAAGGGTAAAAACAACATGAACCACAGAAATGGGATTCACCTGAGCTAAACGTCAAGTGCTTTGTCATTATTAGGTAAAATACAGTAATAATTATTTAAAAATAATCACAAATGAAATCATTTTAAATTAGCCTTTTAAGGCTGCAACATAACAAAATGTGGAGAAATGAAGGGAGTGCTCTCCACTGTCACGAGTAGGGACTACAGGGACTTACAGTACAGCTATGGATAGATGAAGTTGTAACTATACTGATATGAATTATGGCATAATTGTGCTTGGTGAGAATGTCTTTTTCACAATGAAAGGTAGAAAAAAAATCCACACCATTTTCTAAAATGAAATGCCCTGAAATGCAGAGATACTGAAGTGTGCAGTCAGTGCTGTTTAAATTATACATGCACTTACTTTAAATGTGCATACAGCGGCTTTTCAGAACAAGAAACGGTTACACCTAATACATCCGTGTTCCTCTGGTCTCAGAGAGATCTCGTTCTGTAACCATGAATTTAAAGCAAATGGGTGCATCGCATATCTAGGCCACATTTTACCCCAAAAGCAAAGCTAAAACCCTTTGTGTAGGACCATTTCTTTATCCATTTATTTAAATATGACATTGCTTTCTCCCTCAAGTTCTCATTATCATAATGCTTGGCACTTTATCGCAAAATATCTTGCTCATGACAATTAAGCAGATCCTCCCCTGTACCTTTCAACAGGAAATACTAAGATATACTTCAACAGGCTCAGTCTGCTAGCAGGGTAATGTGTCTCTGAACTCAAACTGGTTTATATTAAACTTGTGCTCGTGGCTCTATTTTGGGGAATGGAAGGGTGAGATGGAGGAAGGGAGGCACAGAGGTGCTTCGGCTGGTCTTGTGCCATGCCTGGCCGTCTCATCAGATCTGTGTCATCACTCCCAGTTGTGTTATAAATGCATTCCTGGCCTCTCCACACATGCCGGAGCGAAGCGTCTCCTGGTGGCTCAGCAGCAACACTCAACAGCGCCATAATCAATGATCTAACAGACCCCACCTCTCTTTCTCTCTCTCTCCCATGTCTTTTCCTTGTGTCAGTTGAGCTGTTTCTCCTTTCTAATTTCCTACTTCTGGTTTTTAATACCACTTTTTTTTGTGCTGGAGGCATGAATTATACCTTAAAGAGAGGTGTGCTATTTCTTTTCAGACGTACAATTTTTGCCCTGCGGTCAAAAAAAAAAAAAAGTGAAAAAGCCAATATAAAAGGAGGGACCTGCACCAAATAGAGCCCAGAGATGTGGAAAACCATGTTTTTTCACTATATACAGAAAATTAAATTAAATCTCTTATCAAAGAAATAATTAATGATATAATTCATAATCAAAATAACTGTTAACAGTACAGCATGGTGCTAGCAATACCAAGAGAACAATAAATTGTATTCACAGGGAACGCATGTGCTGATAAAATATGCACGTTTACAATATTTTCATCTGAGTATAAGCTGCACCGAGTCAAAATTGCATTGTTGAGGGAAAAAACACACACACTGATAAATCACATGGGTTGTATAGTTATATTGTATACAAAACAAGAATGAAGAATATGAGTATAAAATAAACAAATTAGAGTGGCATTCATTACAAACATCATTTATTACAAACACGAAGCGAAAGCGAACAGAATAACCGGTGTGTGGGAAATGCGCTAAATAAAACTTCACAGGCCTTTCCTTGCCTAAGAAAAACAAACCATTAAAGCTGAATGTGAGGAGATCCACAAGAAAACATTTCTGTACAAACGCTCAGACCATTAATTCACCGACAAACTAGAAAAACAGATAGAAATAACTATCTGGTCTACTGTGTTTTTCTATTTAGCCATATTGGATGTGAAAATAAGGATTAAAAGTGAATGAAAAGAGGAAGATAAACGTTTATCTGAACAAGTCCCATGTGACTGAAACAAGAGATATACCATGTAGTCCAGGGGAATAACCCTAAATCAAATGTTGCCGTATTTGCGATGTGACATTTTGTTGCTGAACTATTATTTCTTTTGCAAACATGGCTTTTAATTGCATTGTGAAAGTTGCTTTGCAATACGAGTTGCAGCATGTTTATGTGCCATATTCTACAGTAAGTAAATAGCTTTGGATAAGTCAAATAGAAGTAGCGAACAAGTCTAAAGTACTGCCAAATGCAAAGTATATATAGATTTACACAAATCATTTGCAATTGTTCAAAATGTGATTTTCTTTTTTTCTTTCTTGCTTGCTTTTAGTCTTCATCTCCCCCAGTCCTGCTCTTTCTATAATTCTTTCTGTTTTAGAGCAGGCGCTCCTTATTTGAAAGGCTCTGAAAAATTGAGTTGAATTCTTTGGTGTTTACATGTGGTTTGTGTTGATGATCGACGGAGCAAGAATTCAGTGCCTTTCTTTTCAAAAGGCATATTCTTTTTCTCTCTCTAGCTGCATTCTGTATATACTGTGTGTGTGTGTGTGTGTGTGTGTGTGTGTGTATGCACCTCCAAGAAATAAACCAGATGTGTGTTTTTCATTCTCTTGTATGCAAAGCTAAATGTACTCACTTATTTGTAATGTAGGTTTTCTCATTTTGGATTGAAGTCAAACACAATATACTAATCTAACAACATGTGCTTTACATTTTCAATATGTGACCCACATTTTGGAATAAAACATAGTTTCAAAAATATATAGTTTAAAAATAATTCTCCACTTACTTTTATGCCATTTTAGACTTGTGTTTTTGAGAATTTGATAGGAAGTAAACTGTGTAGCGAGAGCTTCTAAAATCAGGATATTGTTATAATATGTGACCCTGGAGCACAAAAGCAGTGTTAAGTCGCTGGATGATTTTCTCAATATTTGGATTTTTTTCCACCCTCAAATAGTTGTATCTCGGCCAAATATTGTCCTATCCTAACAAACCATACATCAATGGAAAGTTTATTTATTCAGCTTTCAGATGATGTATAAATCTCAATTTTGAAAAATTGACACTTATGACTGGTTTTGTGGTCCAGGGTCACATATATAGGGGGAAATTTGGAACTTTTGGGTAACTTTTGTCACCACCAACTGAATTAAGACAAGCTTCTTTTAATAGAGGTGCTCTATTCTTGTTCCACATATTTAATATAGATGATACTAATTTTTTGTTTCCTGAAGTATGTTTCTTTAGGAGGTCTTCTCTGCTCAGCCTGAATTACATCCCCGTGTTCAGGGCGGTGAAGAAAAACACAAGCTCTTGCCAGCAAGCAGACATTTTCAGGGCCAAAGTTATGACTTACACTCGTCTGAGAAGGCGCCTACGCAGTTTGTCTCCGATAATCTTTAAGATCAGAGTTAGGAACAAATGGTAGCACTTTGTTTTCTGGGTGATAGTTTATGTCTCGAGAAATATCAACGTTCTTACAAGCTTCTGTACTGACTTGAATCACGTCTTCATCCAAAACCTATTTCAATTGTCATGCTAAGAATGATTAAAAATATAAAATTGTCAAGACCTTTTCAAATGGTCCATGCATAAAACCATAGTTTATGAGATGTCTTGGAAACTCCCAGCAGAGTTCATGCATTCTTGCATTTTGACGTTGCTGTCTGCTTTTTGAATTATTGAAGGCTATGCTTTGGAGTTCAGATCAGCCAACATAAAAGGTGCTTTATTTTTATTTTTCAATTCCATTGATAGTCGTCTAATAGCCTGGTGATCACAGATCCCAAGAAAGATCATTGCACGGTGCTCTTAGGAATGTGAATGTAAATATGAAATGATGTTTGACAAATATGTCATCTGAATGATGAATTGCAATCGTGATTTCCAAGAGCTGTGGGAAAGCTGTGTGGTCTTCTCAACATGCTTTATCTTTTCCGACAGCTCAATCTCATCTTTCTGGTGGTGACTATGTACAAGATGGTAAAGCACTCAATGTCTATGAAACCTGATTCCAGCCGACTGGAGAGCATACGGTAAGCTCAGTCTTCAATACTGTCGTACACGCTTAGCAGCTGTGCAATTTTACGCTCTGACGTTTTCTTTCATGTTTAGAACTTCGCTATTTTGCTGTCGCAACTTATCATCCTGATTGCTTCATTCAAATTGTCAAGATGCTAATAACAACAGCGTGGCCGTTGCATTGTGGCTGAATGAACCGGTTCACGAGGTAGAGGTTGCATCTGGACCTGGACGTGTAAATACTCAAATACAGCTAATTGGGGTTTATGGGAATAATTACAGAAAACATTAACTAATTCATTTGCTTCCTGCAATGTGAGAGCACAGTCTGACCCTTTTATAAACATTGTCCTTGGGAACTAAATGCATATTTCCAGATGGGCCGTACAATGGTATGATAAGCAAGATGTTTTATTGGACCCAAAGTCGTAATTACTTTTAAACTTGCATCTGGGGGCCGTGAAATCTGCTCTTGTCGTGTCCATTAGAAGGGATCGTCCGTTCAGGACATTTGATCCACAGAAATATTGGCTGGAATCTCTAATGGGCAAGAGTCCAGTGATACACGGCTGGGTGGTCTAATGGCTTGAATTTATAAAAGTATTTCGTGTTTTTTCATTTGTGTTTGTGTATTGGGAGTAAAACAGAGCACATGAATGCAATAGCCAATCAAAGACAATTAACTGAGTCACTGACGGAGAGGAAATAAGCTCAAAACCACTCAAATCAGCAGCGTTTTGCTCAGCATGACCTCACCGACTCAGTGCTGTCATTATAATCAACAATGATGTCAATGAGATTGAATAAATGCATAAAACAGCTATAAACTAATTCAGAAACACACAAAGCTAATGCAATCTAACTTCTGTTAATTGACATTAAAGGAATAGTCTGGTTGGCCCATTTATTCACCCTCAAGTCGTTCCAAACCTGTATGAGTTTATGTCTTTTGCTGAACACAAAAGAAGATATTTTAAAGAATGTGGGTAACCAAAACGTTTCTGGTACCCATTGACTTACATAGTATTGTATTCTATGCTTTGAAAGTCATAAATGATAAGAGAAGTAAAAATGTATTTATTTATCATTAGAACCATTACGTCAGGCTTTGCTGAGAGTTTGGCGCTTATAAACAGATATTGTATGATATTGCTCACAAAAGCAACCCAGGCTGATTGGAAATACGTGCTTGTGCTGCACGGATGTTACGTACCTTATTGTGGCAGTTTCAAAGTGAAATATCCAGTGAGTGGCGTTAAAACACGCATTCAATACGTGACCTTGGCACGCTTTTATTACGTTAGTGTAGGCACATATTGTGGTGTTTTTATTATGTTGCTTCTGGTACATATTGTTCAGAATTCAAATGTCTGGTGAGTGTTGCTAAAAGATTAATGCTCTATCCCCACATGAAAAAATACTATAGTAATTTATAGTAAAGTGTTTTTGAACCATACTATAGTAACGTAGTTGAATTAATTTGTTGTGGTAATTCTATAGATGCTGTGGTAATATAGCAACTATAGTAATATGAACAAATTACTATTTCTACAATTATAGGGTATATTATACAAGTGTTTCCCAACCGGGGTGCCGTGTAAAAAAATCATTTTTTTATATTTTTAAATTGCTAAAATGTTCAAAAAAGCATCTATTATATAATATCCATTTCTGATGTCGCCAATAATTAGAGATGCACCGAAATTTCGGCTGCCGAAAATGAGTTCACCGCTCAGGTTTCACTTTCACGTGGTGTGACGCACTGTGTGTTATCCCGCTCTATGCGTGTGCGCTCCGCTCAGTTGCTCCACTCGTATACCGTTCATGCGAATCGGAACAGCAAAGTCCACTCAAAAATTGAGCAGACAGGAAACATCGATGTAGTATAGTATTGTTTCTGTCTGCTATAGCCCTACTGTGCTGTAACATGGTGTGGTATATGGGCAACTCTGGTAACGCTGCCCTCTCATTAATTGATCTGCTAACCGCTATGTTATGCTCACGTGTTCTGATAATAATAGCTTTCTAGGACTAAACATTATTTGGATAATATCTGGATATATAATGGATAAATATCTTAACCCTACTGTTAGACCTACCTGAAAAACTAAAAAGCAATTTATTTAATTCGAAGGCCTGTCGTTATTTTTTATTTGTGCTATCATTATTAATTTCTTTATTTGTTCTTATTTTATTACTGACTGCTTACTTGTCATTTTTTATTCAATTCAAAGTTTGAAATCAAGCTATCTCGTGCTACCGCACCAAAATTACCCCACTGTAAAATAAAAAAAACACTGAGTGAGCAAAAATTTGTGAGATAGCTAGTTATAATGGTAATTAAATAATGTTTACATATGTATAAAAGCCTACATTAAAATCTGTCATATAAATTGGTCTCTTCATTAGAAATTAGCCTACTGATTGCCACCATTGATGGACAAATTTTTTAAATAATATTAAAAATATCTGTATGACATTATATTCTGCAGTTCTTCCCTGTTGTACCGAATATCTATACTTTTCAAAGTATCATATCGAAGTTAGAAATTCAAATATTGTGACAAAATTAATTTTGTAGGGTGCCACAAGTTTGTTAAAATTTCCAAAGGGTGCCGCGACTAAAAAAAGGTTGGGAAACACTGTATTATACTACAATGCACTACAGTTTACAGTACAGTATTTATTACAGTTTATCAGTTCACTATAGTTAATACTACAGTATGCTGTTGCATTCATTAACAAAGTGTTGTAAATACTATAATATATACAGTATAATACACTTTACTATAGTATGGTTCAAAAACACTATAGTATTTACTATAAATTACTATAGTATTTTTTCATGTTGGAAAATAACAAACCCTCTACGCCAAAACCCTACCCGAGAGTGTTAACATTTACATTTAGTCATTTAGCAGACGCTTTTATCCAAAGCGAGGACAATAGAAGCAATCAAAACCAACAAAATAGCAATAATAAGCAAGTGCTATGACAAGTTAACGAAAGCAAAAGTGTTATAAAAATGCATTTGCGCTATTTTAATTTCTCATTTACACAGGCTTCAGCTCACAAGTGCGGTATCGTATCGCCGAGGAGATCTACTGAATTAGAAAACCCATACATATTGAGCTGCATATGTGACACTAACGCATGTTAAAATCGTTTTGGTCGTAACTTAATATTCTGCAAGGAATTGTGTGAAAATGTGGCTTTCTTAATAGAAACTCTGATTAACGCCCTGTTAATCATACTTTGTGTGAAAAGGAATAAAAGTTGTCGGAGTTTTGCCGCCTCTAGTGTTCATTTAAACTGGAAACTGCAGCGATTCATACGTTTAGGTACGTTTTCGCAGAAATGTAGGTAGAGGCACGTATTTCCAATGAGCCTGGGTAGATAAAAGAAGGCTATGAAATGTATTTCTAACTGTAATCCTGTGGTTTTCAGGTCCTGGGTGTTTGGTGCTTTTGCACTGCTGTGTCTGGTTTGTCTGACGTGGTCGTTCGGCCTGTTTTTCTTGAACGACTCTTCAGGAATCATGCCGTACCTCTTCACTATCTTCAACACCTTACAAGGGATGTTCATCTTCATCTTCCACTGTCTTCTGCAGAAGAAGGTAAACCCATGACATACTGAAGGAATCGGTTTGTCAGACGCCACTTTCTTTATTATTGATGGCAGCTGAATGTGTTAAAGGTCCCCTGAAGTGCCTTGAAACACGCAGCGTTATTCTATGTGGTGACGTAAATTCAACTGAAACAGGAAGACAGGGCGGGACATATCGAGCAGCCCCGCCCCCTTTTTAAATTAGCCAATAGCGTTTTGTTTATATTTGCACGGGTCAGAGGGAGCCGTTGAGCTTGGTAAAGCCGCATTTGACAGCCACAGTCTAATAGTTTACCCCCTAGATTCAATATGAAACTCTTAGTAAAACAAAATAGTGATCATAATCATGCTGAGGCTGTGTAGTTTTTAAAGTGTTTAATATATGCCGACTCGCGCATATGATCCGCTCCGTGCGATCTCGTCTCTGGACCGGAGCCAAAGTCCAGATCAGACTGTGTGTGCTGCCGCGGTTCGCGTGACACAATGTGAAACCAGACCTCATTTGCCCCAATCGAAAGCATATTTACACTATCTGAATCGTTCCCTATCGCCTACATTGTGCACTAGGTGCCATTCACTGTACAGGAAATACTACACTGTGAACAAAGCGACCGATCTCAGCCGCTTCAGCGTCTATTTATAGTGCAGGGGGCGGGCGGTTCGGATTCTAGAGAGCGTTTGATTGGTCAGAAGATTTGATGAGAAGATGAAGTACGATGTGAACGAACTAAAAGCTTTGAATGCTTATATCTTCTAAATGCAAATTATAATTTAGACTGTTTTGGAGCACACTGCCTTATAGATAACCTTAAGACTAACACATTGATATTAACACCCAAAAAACGTTCATTTTGACTTCATGGGGACTTTAAGTATGGAAGCCTGTTTCCGCCACTAAATAAAAAATAAAACAAGGTAATTGCGACTTTTTATCTCACAATTCTGACTTCTTTTCTCAGAATTGCGAGTTCAAATCTCGCAATTCTGACTTTATAACACGCAATTGTGAGTTATAAAGTCAGAACTGAGTGATATAAACTCTCAATTGCGAGAAAAAAACTTTATAACTCGCAATGTTGACTTTATAACTCGCAATTTCGCGTTTATATCACGCAGTTCTGACTTTATAACTCACAATTGCGTGTTATAAAGTCAGAATTGCAAGATATGAACTCGCAATTCTGAGAAAAGAAGTCAGAATTGTGAGATAAAAAGTTGCAATTACCTTGTTTTATTTTTTATTCAGTGGCGGAAACGGGCTTCCCTAGTTAAGTGTTGGCTCATAATGAATTTTCTGGCTACAAAGTTTATTTGTCGTATTTAATTAAACTCAAATCCTTTGAGCTCATGCCCGATGATTTTTTTTTTTTTTCAACAAGTCGGCAGACAATTTCGAGGTTGTCTTTTTCAAAGGCTTGTTTTAAAAGGTTATAACCCTTAAATATGTGTTACATATTTTAATACATAATTATAAAAGATGAAAATCGACACAAAACAGTGTTTGCCGTCCAATTTTATTTCAGGCCCATCTGTGAGTGAAAGCTCATTTAATGTACATATAATTGCATTTCCTAAAGGACGTTTTCATAAATAAAGTCGCTCACTTTCTCTTGCTCCAATTTAAAGTGATTCAGAGTGAGACACAAAATTGGCGATACAATTATCATATTTATTTAATATGAATGTTATTTATATTATACTTTTAATCAGAAGTCAGGAAGAGCTTTATTGCCAAGTACGTTTACACAAACAGAATGCATTACATGTGAGGAGTTAGGAGCTAGCTTTTAATTTAAATTAATATATACATTAAAAAATTACTTTTAAGGCCATTTAACACCATACACAGTACGAAATGAATAAAACGAAATGCAAATAAAAAGATGCAAAAAAAAAAAAAAAACTCACCTTTACAAATGTTAAACTGGAGAAACAAGTTCAGGTCTCTCATTTCAGCAAAAACATTAAAAAAAAAATTTAAATAGAGGTGATATTCAACTAATGTGAAGACAGTAACACTTTATTTAAGAACCCAAGTCTTACTATTAACTAGTTGTTTATTAGCATACATATTACTAGCATATTTGAGTTTATTAGTACTTGTAAAGCACATATTAATGCCTTATTCTGCATAATCATATCTTAGATCCCTTAATACCTAAACTTAACAACTACCTTACTAACTATTAATAAGCAGCAAATTAAGAGTTTATTGAGGCAAAAGTCATAGTTAATAGTTAATTAATAGTGAGACTTGGTCCTTAAAATAAAGTTTGACATTAAAGACAGCAGCAAAGATGCTAGTAAATAAAGTGAGATTAAATCCATAAAGTGTTTTGGTATTACGTAACATCTTTAATTATTGCAGGTGTGCATGAAGTTCTGTGTTTGTGCTTCCTTCTGGGTTTTTATTCATTTCAAGGAATATTAAATCTTGTTTTCGTGCTAGTGAGATAAGCGAATGACATCTGTTGCAGAATCAGCATCTGTCTGTATTTTACCACGAGTCTAATCCAAATGAATCATTTAACCAACTCACACTTTTGTTTTTTAATCCGTACTTATCTTAAGTGTAAATACAGTATGTCCACAAATGAATAAGATAAATTGTAAACCTCACACAAGGCAACAGTATGAATATTTGAAGAACATTTCATGCAAACACCTTGCTAATAAAAAGTTATGCCTGTAGTTCAAAGGGTTCGTAATCTGCAAAAATTTTACTGGAGTAATTTTCGTGTTTATGCTCAGATGTGGAGGACAAGGCATTTTCAGTGTGCACAAAAGGCTCTGATATGTGACTAAAATATTATATCTAATATTACCGTCTAGCAATGTCATTGGCTGAAAGACTTCTAATGGGTAATCGATTCAGTGCCTGATTAGAAAACATACCCATTAGTTTTCTGATATGTCATATATACTGTATGTCTCCTATCCTTTCCTTTGCTGTGAATAGTGTATTGTTTGTGGCTGTTAATGGAGCTGCGGTTGGATTGTGTCTTCAGGTGCGTAAAGAGTACAGCAAGTGTTTGCGGCAGTCTCAGTGCTGTACTAGTCTTCCCTCTGAAGGACCTCACGGCGTTAACAAACCCTCGGCCTCCAGGTCCACCGCTCGATATTCATCTGCCACACAGGTACATCTCAATCAAATTCTGCATTCACGTATGAAATGTGAATGTTTTCTCTTCTTTATTGATATGGTCTCTCTCTTGTCTGCAGTAGTGATTGTAAAGGATTGCTCGTCGTGATTGATTCCCTTAAACGGACAAGTTAAAGAATCAAGCACTCGGCTGTTTAGAAAGCTCTGAGGATCTTCCTGTTCACTTTGAGCCAGAAACGAACAATTCAGCGAGTCGTTAACTGAAGACTCGTCGCAAACAGATCATTAAATCAGTGACTTGTTGACAGTCGTATCAGTCCAATTCACATTTGAGCCGGTTCAACGGAATTAGCTCGCTCATGAATCAGAAATCGATTAGGTATCTTGAAATGGATGTCTATTTACTCATATCAAAATAATGAATAAACATTTTTATGAAATGTAGTGCAGAGAAAAGTATGATATTATGCTTTGAATGGACACAACAAAAACTCACCTTTACGGATGGATATATATAGCTATATATATATATATATATATATATATATATATATAT